GTGGGTCAAATGCTGAAAAGTTTTGGAACAATTGCACTGGCTTGGGACCCAATTATGGGTCATGAAGCACCTTGGATAATCTCCAGAAATCAATTTAAAGGGTAATAAAATAATTGCTGATGTAATATTTTCCCTATAACTATTACAAAAACACAAAAAAGTATAAATAAGTATTTATATTTGTGTACAAACAGTTTAGATTGTCAAAAAGCCTGTGTTTTTAGGGTTATTAAAGTTTATGTACTCAGACCAGTAATATTTGGGGTCACAAGTTTTTGCCATGGATATTTTGTGGGTCAGAAGATAAAAAGTTTGGAAACCACTGCTCTATTGAACTTTACTGAAGCTTTAAAAACAAAATTAAAATCATATAATCCAGGAGTCTCTAATCTTTATGGCATCACAAACTGGATTCTTACAAAACTTTCRCAACAACTAGTGGAGAAAATAAGTTTTCCAGCAACATTTGTTACTCATGTTTTGCTAGGGTTAGCTGATAAATAAAATGAGTTTAACACAGACAAGCATGTGGGTCACTTTTCAAAATAAAACACCCCAGTAAGCCAGTGTTCAGGATCACAGGGTTTACTCACTCCACGCAGTCTCCCAGGGCAGATGCCACAGGCTGACTTGGGGGCTTTGCCGACCTTCTTGGTGTACAGGTACACGATACGGTTCCCAGGAGTCCGGGACCTGCAGACCCGCAAGGAGAGCATCACATCATGGACGAAGCTAATGCACACATTTTAACTCCCCCCACAAACTGTCAACAAGCAGCTCACTTACAGTCTGGTTTTATTAGAGGCCGTGTTGTAGGACAACCTACGGCGGTAAGTCAGGCGCTGCACCATCTTGGAGCTGAAAGACAAGTTTTGATTTAATGGATGAACTGAAGCTAACATGCTAACAGTGCTAAAACACACCGGCACATTTATGCTTAATAAAAGTAATCTTTATTATTGTGCCAGTTACATATTTTACACAACCACTGTATTTCACTTCTTTAAGCAGCAGTTAAACCACTGTTCTCTGTAAACATATGCAAGCGGCCTCGGCTCGTCCTGTCACTAGAGACGACTTAAAATAGCTTTCCTAAACTGACTAATGTTTAAAATCATCACGTCGTCACAAATATTTACTTCTTATAAGAAACATATTTACTTAAAATCGACCAGATTCGCTTTTTATTATAGAGGATTACTCCCGATTATAAATCGGTTTTCATACAGAGCTAAGCAGGAGCCGCCATACCTGCTTTCGCCGTAACCGGAAGAGGAAGGAGGTAGGCGGAAGTTAAAAGTTAAAGGACTTCATGCGCATCTGKCCCCTGCTGGTCAGATGTTTATACTGCATCAACTCTGGACTTTTAATAGTAAGTATACGGTTTGCTATATTATTGTTGTAAGCACAACATTAGAATACTAAATGTCTAAGTAGTGCTTGATCAAGTCTTTATTTTAATTAAATTACATGCAAAATTTACAGTYACCACTGTATATTGTAATTGTTTTGTACTTGTTGATTGAGTCATGCCTTGGGAAGATAACAAAGTGTCAGGGTTGAGAGTCAGCTCCTCTGAGTCTGAGACCAAGGTCCGGGTGGAAGGCCTCCTCTGGGTCTGAGACCAAGGTCCGGGTGGAAGGCCTCCTCTGGGTCTGAGACCAAGGTCCGGGTGGAAGGCCTCCTCTGGGTCTGAGACCAAGGTCCGGGTGGAAGGCCTCCTCTGGGTCTGAGACCAAGGTCCGGGTGGAAGGCCTCCTCTGGGTCTGAGACCAAGGTCCGGGTGGAAGGCCTCCTCTGGGTCTTCAAACAACTTATTAATATTTTTTTTCAGTTTTGTTATCGCATTATTCTCTGACTGAAAAATCACTCCAATTTATTGTGTTTCTTATAGACAGAGTTGTAAAGTAACTAAGTACAAATACTTTGTTACTGTACTTGAGTAAAATTTTTGGGTATCTGTACTATATTTGAGTAATTATTTTTCAGCCTACTTTTTACTTCTACTTCTTACATTTTCACACAATTATCTGTAGTTTTTACTTGTTACATTTTTAACAAAGACAAGAAGTAGAAAGTTGTTACTTTTATTTCATTTTTGCTTGTTTTCATTTCAGCTTGTTTTTGTAAAAAATAAAGACTATCCATATAAACTGTGCCTACTAGATACAGTGAATTTAATTGTGGTTGAATGAGAAGTATAAATATATATACAATTCTGATAGCGTATTAGTTTGTACACAAACAAATCATGTCACACTCCAGCAGGACACAATTATTAAAATAAAAGGACTGTACTTAAGAAGTATTTGTATTTCATGAATAATATAATTGTATTTGGCCGCAGCCCTCAGATAGATTTTCATTTTGGGGGAAAATGTTTGTGCAGCCTTGATATATGTATATAAACTGAAACAACTAGACTAGTGCATCTTTAACATAAATTAATTATTTTAATACAACAGTCATTTCTGCAGGTTTTGGGGAGGTCACCTCCTAATAAATGTCCTTACAGAAAATCTAACNCAGTCATTTCTGCAGGTTTTGGGGAGGTCACCTCCTAATAAATGTCCTTACAGAAAATCTAACTGCTCATTTTAAATCAATACTTTTACTTTTAATACTTAAGTACAAAAAATATCAGATACTTTAAGACTTTTACTCAAGTATCACTTTGTGGTACTTTACACAACACTGTTTATAGATCCCTGACCTGAACAGAAAAATCATGACTGAGTTTAGAAAAGAGGTGCTCGTATTTGCCCAAACTGTCCACTAGATGGCAGCAGAGAGTTTTAATCTCAAACCATCCTTCTTATCAGCTGCAAATCAAAACATTTTTGGTGTTTTTTATTTTTAACTTGTAAAATTTGTTTGTTTGGTTGATATTGGTTTCCTTCAGAATTATTATATAGACTTGTATTTAGTGCCTTAAATGCTGAATGAAACTCCTCATCACCAAAGAGATGTGCTAAGTGAGAAAAATAAAAGCCAACTTTCTCTTTAAGAAGTCTAACAAATTCACTAGTAAATGGCACTTATCACAAACAGGTGCCTGACACGTTCAGCGCTGCTTGTAAGAGGGGATAGCTTTCATTTAATTCAGGAAAAACCTCATAGATAAAGAAGTTTTTAATGGATTTAAAATTATCAGGATTAATTTAGGGGAAGCTAACTGTTTCCAAAGTTAGCAAAGAAGCTAATTGTCTAAATAAGAAGCTAGTTCTGCTATTAGCAGATTAGCAAAACTAGAACAAAGAAGATTTGTGATGAAATCCAAGAGAAACTGAGATTCACACAAACACCAACATCTGCAGGCAGACTTCACTTCTACAGAAGTAATTATTGTTAAAGGTAATGACAAATAAAGTGTAAGGGTCACGTATTTTGAAAGGACTTTGTTGATTRATGTTATAAGAGAGGCCATTATCCACAGCCGACCCTTCAGAGTATCTAAAAAAAAGACATATTGCCCAAAGTGCACATGATTACACAATCCTCTGCTGAGATTTAAACCTGCTGCTCCTGTTTAATAAATCCACTGATATTAAAACAGGATTATAGCTCCGCTTTCACGTTCCCAAAGTCCTCATCTCAGGAGGACTTTTTTTTCCTACTGTTATGGCTTTTATTTGCCTTATTTGGGAGTTTTCAKCTACTCTTATTAATTTGTACCATCCAAACCAACAAAACAATGAGGATTAAAAAAAAACAAACTTTTCTTACACCCTGGCCATGGGTGTACAACCACAAAATCTTCATCACCTTCAACTACCAAAGATCACCYGGACCATAAATGATATCTCTCTATTTTATTGTGAAACAACCAACAGGAAGCACAGATCATTCTACTTCCTGTCCTGTTTGTAACTACGGGAGGCATTCTGTAAGGTCACCATAGTTTGATTAGATTTATGTTTCTGCTGACCTCGTGACCTCGACACAAAGATAATCTGTGAGTCTATTTTAAAGATGCTTGGATGAGAGTCCATGTCATTTTAGGGTTAATCTGCTTTTCCTTTGGATAAAGCTCCTTTTTAGTCTGCAGCACATGTGTCAAATGCAAGGCCCGCGGGCCAGATGTGACTCCTGTGTGACCCGCCGGGGGGGGTACCCCTTCTCCCCCCCAATTTTTTTTTTCTGAACATGAAATTTGTTTCTTAAAGGCACAGTGTGTAGGATTTTGTCAATTCTTTTAGCCGAAACTGAGATAATCACTAATGACAATAATAAAAAAC